GGAGGGTAGATGCGGTGAGGGGAGGGGTGGAGGGAAAGAGAGGCAGAGGGGCTAAACCGTGTGGAGGCGAGAGCGGAGGGAAAGTATCGTGAGGAATGTTGGATCAGCCACGATCTTACTGAATGGTGCAGCAGACTGGAGGGGCCGAATGGTCCTGTTCCTATTTCTTGCAGAGGGATATTTAATGGGAAGGGAAGGTGGTTAAAGGTAGAGACATGTGGGATGGTGATGGTGAAATAAAGTTGGGTAGAGTGAGAGAGATGTGGGAGAAGGTGCGAGGAGGGAGTTCTCTCAATTGGAGCAGGCAAGGGATGTGGGGATAATGGTGACAGCTGGCAGATAGACTGGAAAGGACACGATGGAGAATCAATGATGATCGTGTTCAAAGTGCATAAATCTTTCTGGGTGATAAAGTCAGAATCTGTGAAATCCTGACTGGTTCTTCTAGACGTAGAAAAGTTCACTTGGCAGCTGTGGTTTGGTAACAATCCACAACTCTCCAGTGAGAAAATTCTGGGATCACGAGCCACTCTAGACCAAAAACATCGAGGAAGGCAATCCCAGTGCATTGCGAATGCTCAGCCTGTACTGTCGTCGTACAGTCTTTGGATGAGATATTAACCTGAGGATCTGTTTGTCCTGTTTGATGTTAAAGATCCCATGGCATTATTTGCAGAGGAGTTATCCCTCATTTCTGAGCCAGTAATTATTATCCTATCTATAACTCAAAATAACTTATCCTACCATTAGCATGTTGCTGATTGTGAAACTTGCAAACAAGATTCTGCACTGTTTCCCCTGGTAGAGCAGTGACTATACTTCAGAGGTGTTGGCTGTAGCACTGTGGGGTGTCCTGAGATTATCTGCTTGTGTGACCTGATTGGGATAACAATGACAGAATCTTTGAGGGTGATTCACTATGTTTGTTCTTCCAGGCAGGTGAAGTCCTCTTGTGTCCTGACTCGACAAGCTGCAGAGAAGCCGGTTCCCGATTTTGGGTCTGTGGTCACTGAAGAACTCGCTGGCTCTCAGGATTTGGACTTGGGCGTGTTCCGCCTCCCAGCTGGTGACATTTATGCAGAGGAAACCACGGTGGTGTGGGTGGCAGTCCTTTCCCTGGGCTTTGCCCTAATCTGCGAGCCCCATGAGAACCTAATGCTGGCGGAAAATACCCTGAGAATGATGGTGAAGTACTTCATGCAGCATTTGAACCTGCTGATGCAAGGCAATGATGTCACCCTGAAGACTGACCGAATCGAGGCGATCCTGAACACGTTTTTGCCACACGGACAGCTGATGTTTCTGAACTGTTGCTTTATTCAGAGCCTGGAGAAGGACCTGAATGCTTCAATATTCAAATGATGCCACTTGCTTTTTGTTTCTCCCATGCCTTCACTCTCCCGTGAGCTCCTTTTCTCTCTCAACCTTGCTATTTCATTTTGCTGAAGGTTTTGCAGCTTTGCCAGTGTGTGTTTCATGCAGCTGCTCCTTTGCTTAGATTTGGAGTGATGTGGAGGAAGAGGCTATCACTGTTTATTTTCATTCTTATGTCCAGCAGCAGATACTAATGCACACAAAAGCAAAATACTAGAAATTGAAAATGACAGTGTGCTGGAAATATTTGGCACGTTTTAGCAGCATCCGTGAAGGAAGAATTGAATGAGCTTTACAACTTTGTATACCAGAAGATGTGAGCCTTCAGGATCAATGTTTATCCAAAGCTAGTTGGATTTCCAGACATCAGAAGCAGGACAAGCCAATGACCTGAACATGGACAGGAATTGGGAAGGCTTGAGAATTATTTGTCAAATTTCCAGAGTTTTCAAACTGGGTTGTATTGGGCATGAGTGGTAGTTAAGGCATTCCTGACTTTAATTTTTTTCCTTTACTCAGTTGCTCACTTAGATAGTTGTTCTGAATGTTTTGCAGCCTGACCCTGGAATTTTGAGCGGTGCTTATGACAGGAGTATTATAGTAATACATTAGGGCAGCGGATAATGATGGTTCACTGTGTTTTCACAAACGGCAGATTCCTGATTTCAGGATGGAGTTTGTTGAAGGGCCTCGCACCTCTCCAGGGAGGGCTATGGGGAAAAAAGGAAGGCGATGCAGGGAACAGAGTCGTCTCTCATGCCCATTTAATGGTCGGTGCAGAGCAACCTCTGAGCCCTCAAATTGGCCAGCAGATGTGCTCAGTGCAGAGATTTAACAGAGAGAGTGTTAGAAATATTAGACTTCACCTGGATAACGTAGTGCTAATCAATGTAATTAAAAACGTGGATGTAAGGTGGTGTTGTTTTTAATCCAATAAAAATTGCAATTCAAATGCTTGAAGAGTATTGGTGATGCCGATTAATAAATGGGAGTAAAGATATATGGTCATGTGCTGGTCTGCCACTGTGTATCCAATCTCATTTTCAGTTCCATAATTATAGTATCCAACAGCCTGCCATTATTGGCTTTACTGTCTCTGTCTTTAGCTGTTTTCTGATCAACCTGATCAGAGATCCTATGATGTGCCTCTGGAGCAGGGTTTCCTGGCTCAGAGGTAGGGACACTACCACAGCACCACAAGAGACACCCACTCCCTTTATGAGTTAGGATCAGTTTGTTTCCTTTCTAGATATTTTCTAGTCCCCCTGTTCAGGGATGTTATTACTTACTGGTGGAGCAGCTGGGACTTGAACGCAGGACTTCTTGCCCAGAGATAGGGACGTGTCTACAGTGCCACAGCATACCCTCCGCCGATAGCTTCAACAATACACGGTCTAGGTTCACAATTCCAGACTTCTTGCAATCTCAACAGCTACATAATTGGGATTTGAACCTGTATCTTCAGAAGGTTAAACTTGGTTTCCCGATTACATGTTCCGTGATGTTGCCACTGCACCACCGTCTTCCCCGCCCTGTCCTCAGCTACTACCTTGGCTACACTACTGCTTTGTTTTTTAACCTTTTTACCCAGCAGTGTCATCGCACTCAACTGAGCGACCTTCCCACTACCAAAATCTCTGTTGCTTTTCTTTTTACTGATAACCAGCTCCAGTAACAACACCTGTGTAAGCCATTTGGTTACTTACAAGTGAAGCCCCTTTATGGGCATTGCAGACCATCAAAGGTGAAGGGGGGGAGGAAGGAAGGGGCTAACTCAAAAGGGAGTTGGGAGGGGGGAAATAAAGTACTGTATCTCTCGCGGTACCCACCTCTCTCTCAAAGCAGCGATGGGCATCCTGTGCTGCTTCTCCAAGGTCACCCAGCCAGGAATGTAAATGTCGAAGAGGGTCAGGCGGTTGGTAAAGGTGACTCCCTCCATAGCCCGCTGCCTGACCTGTTTATAACCAGCCTGGCCAGGCCCTGGAACTGACCCACAAAGGAGCTCTTTTGACTTGCCCACTCCATTCTTGGCTGGACGCCCAAAGATCAGGAGCGTGCGGCTGAAGAAATGCAACCAAAAATTCCACAAAAGGTTTCTGAAATAACTAAATGGAGGGGATGCAAATGCCCACAACCAATAACCATAAAATTCCCACGGTGTAGGAAGAGGCTGTTCGGCCCTTCGAGTCTGCACCAGCCCTCCAGAGACCATCCCACCCGGACCCAGCTTCCAACTTATCCCCATTGGAGCAGCAATGGTAGGAGTTTCTGGGGGTAGTTCAGGAAGCAGGGCAGAAATTCATCCCGAGGAAGAAAGAAAAATATTTTAAGACAGGATGAGGCAACCATGGCTGACAGGGGAAATCAGAGACAGCATAAAAGCAAAAGGAAAGGCATACAATGTGGTGAAGATCAGTGGGAAGCCTTTTAAAAACCAGCAGATGACAAATAATAAAATAATAAAGGGCAAGGGGAGAAGATGAAATATGAGAGTTTGCTAGATACTAATATAAAAGTAGATTGCAAGATATGCAGGAGGTGAGAGAGAGGCATTCGACATTGGACTGCTGGGAAATGAGGTGGGAGAAGTAGTGATGAGGAGCTGAAGAGGTACCCTGCGTCAGTTCTCACAGTGGAAGACACCAGCAGCATACCAGAACTTCAAGAGTCAGAGGTACAGAGGTGAGTGTAGTGGCCATCACTGAGGAGAAGGTGCTGGGGAAGCTGAAAGGTCTGAAGGTGGATAAATCACCCGGACTGGATAGACTAGGCCCCAGAATTCTGAAGGAGGAGATTGTGGAGGCATTGATGGTGATCTTTCAGGAATCACTGGAGTCAGGGAGGGCCCCAGAGGACAGGAAAATGGCTAATGTAAGCCCTGTTTAAGAATGGAGGAGGGAGGGAGACAGAAAACTGGAATCTAAAAGGATGGTTAGCCTGACCTCGGTCATCAGTATGATTTTAATATCTATTATTACAGTTATGTAAAATAGGATTGATTCAGCACGGCTACAACAAGGGAAAGTCATGCCTGACAAAGCTGTTAGAATTCTTTGAGGATAGAACAAGCATGTTAGATAAACAGGAGCCAGTGGATGTGATCAATTTGGATTTCCAGAAGGCCTTTGACAAGGTGCCGTTCAGAAGATAAGATCCCACGGTGTTAGGGGTAACATACTGGCATGGATAGAGGATTGGCTGACTGGCAGAGGGCAAAAAGTTGAGATAAAGTGGTATTTTTCAGGATGGCATCTGCAGGGTCCGTATTAGGACCAAAACTGTTCATGTTGTACATTAACAATATGGATGAAGAAACGGAGGGCATTGTTGCTAAGATGACACAAAGATAGGTGGCGAGGCAGGGAGTATTGAGGAGACGGGGAAACTTGGACGGGCCAGGAGAGTGGCTGAGGGAGTGGCAGATGGAATAATGGATGGAACGTGTGCACTTTGGTAGGAAGAATAGAGGTGTAGACTATTTTCTAACTGGGAAAAGCTTCGGAAATCTGAAGAACGAAGACACTTGGGAGTCCTAGTTCAGGATTCTCTTCAGGTTAACATGCAGGTTCAGTTGGCATGTAGGAAGGCAAATTCTCCAGCAATTTCTGTTTTGTTTCAGATTTCCTGCATCCACAATTGTTTGTTTTCAGTTTTAACAATATCTACTTAGATCTGTAGGCCTGATTTGAGAAGTAAGTTTAATTAATTAGGTAAAACACTCTGTCAGATATCCCTTCAAGTTTTGGTCTCTGTAGTTAAAAGGAATATTCTAGCACTTCATTCATTTGCCCAATCAGAGTATGACATTATGAAGACACTGTATGAGGCTACTGTTGAGGATCATTTTACAAGGTACTTAATATATTTAAATAATTTTTATTTTATTTTATTTATTTTTGTTTTATTTGATGGGTTAGAAACAGAGAAACTGTTTCCTTTGGTAGGAGAGTCAAGGACAAGGGGCTATTGAACCTAACTAAATGGAGCAAATAAAAAGTGACTTCACAGGGAAATGGCTAAGTATTTTGTTCACTTCCCTTTTCAAGTTCAGGGAATGTGTTAGTAATTGTAAGGTTTCATTAGTATTGGTAAAGTTTGAGTTGTAATAAATCTTATTGGGAGTAATATAGAGAATCAATGTCCTTGAGGGGGTTTATAATCAATAAGGTTGAATTTTGGTCTGCTTTTTAAAGGAGGGCCTGGTGTTGTTCTGCAGTGAAACATGGCCATCTGGTGGTAGATGGACAGTACAGCAATTGGACTTTTGACAGGACTGGGGTAACCGAGCAGACAGGCATTGTGATATTTCACTCTGTGTTTCCAAGAGTGTAGTGAACTATGAAAGGAAAGGCTGAATTTGAAAGGAAGGAAACAGGCAAAAACTGAAAGGAGTCAAGTGGGAACACTTGGATCAGTGCATCCACTTTTAGGGCAGCACAGTGGCTCAGTGATTAGCACAGCTGCCTCACAGCACCAGGGACCTGGGTTCAATCCCACCCTCAGGTGACTGCCTGGGTGGAGTTTGCATGTTCTTCCTGTGTCTTTGTGGGTTTCCTCCCACAGTCCAAAGATGTGCAGGCTCGGCAGATTAACCATGGGAAATATAGGGTTACGGGGATGGTGTGGGATGCTCTTTGGAGGGTCAGCGTGGACTTGATGGGCCAAATGGTCTGCATACACAGTGTAAGGATTCTATATTGAGTACTTGATTAGCCCCATTTTAAGGCATGTGAGCATAAAATCCAGGTTGCTGCACTGTCAGAGGCTCCATCTTTCAGATGGTATGTTAAGCAGGGGTTTCATTTGACCTTTTGAGTGCTATTCTGCAGCAGAGCAAGTTTTCCCTGCTGTTGTGACGAATAGTTCTTCCTGTAAAGACTGCTTTTTTTTTTATTAGAATCCCTACCATGCAGAAAAAGGTCACTCAGCCCATTGAGTCTACACCAACCTTCCAAAGAGCATCCCGTCCAGACCCAGCTCCTTACTTTATCCCTGTACCTCCACATTTACATGGCTAATGCAGCCGGCCTGCACATCCCTGGACACTATGGACAATCTGCCTAAACTGCACACCTTTGGACTGTGGGAGGAAACTGGAGCACCTGGAAGAAACCCATGCAGACACAGGGAAAATGTGCAAACTTCACACAGAAAGTTGCCCGACGGTGGAATCAAACCCGAGTCCCTGATGCAGCAAGGCAGCGGTATTAACTACTTAGCCACTGTGCCTCCATGTTTTTTGACACCCGTATTGTGTGTATGTATGTGCAGGGAGAGTTTTATAAGCAGTTAGTGTCTTAATTAGAGTTATATGTTGACAGTTTCTAACTGTTTATCTGTAACTGGAATCTATTTATTTATAATGAATCGTAATTCCTGTTAAGTCCAGAAACCTGGTCCATGCTTTGTCAAGTTGGGTCTAAACAGACAGCCACATCGAGGAAATCTTTGCATTGTTTAAAATATTTAATTTTTGTGACAACGCTGGGAATGGTGGGGACTGTTTCCAGGACATTATTCAGTGAGGGGTAACATTCCCCCAGTGCTGACAAACCTGAAGACCTGGTGCTTTCCTGCAAGTGACGCACAAATCTAACGTGGGACTTTGTCGCCATTCCTTCACTGTTGCTGGGTCAGAATCCTGGAACGTCTTCCCTAATATCGCTATATCCCAAGGAATGCAGCTGTTCCAGAAGTCAGTTCACCACATTTGTTTCAAGAGCAATTAGCAATGGGCAATAAATGATGGGTTAGCCAGTAATTCCCACATCCCTTGAAATAATTAAAAAAAATTATAAGAGTACAAGTGAAGCAGGGATAGGATGATAAATGATTGTCTGATGATATATGATTAGAACAGTAATTTCACAGCAAACAGGGTGAGGAACCGTTAGTCTAATTAAAATTTATGTAGGTAACAATCTGTTGTGTTTATAAAGTTGGCAGTGTCAG